TGAAAAATTGAGCTTAATACTTGTGAGTGGGCCCCGTAGGCTTCGTCGCTCTCTGTCGCATTAAAGCTCTCAATTCGGCTCACAGACCCCCTCCTATTTCACAAGTTCCGCAACTTCACTGACGACAGAAACTCCTCCTTCACACCAGGGTCAACGTTCGTACAGGCGGTCCTCGAGGTCGGATGACATATCACTGGAGAGTAGGGGTTTGTAAGAGCCGAGATCAGAACAGTGGCAGCCTGTTCGGGAGTAGATGGAAACCACGACGACCGGATATCGAGTGCACGGCGCATCCCCAAGTGATTTCGATCAACGTCATGCGCTCCGATTCCCGTTCTCTGCGATGGTGATTTGAGTTTGCGAGACCTTAAACGGCTCCCGTAAGGGGCTCTTCAACATGACTGAAAGGAGTCCTGGTCAAACAGAAATTCAATTTCCTGCGTTAACTTCATAAAAGTATAAATTTTTAAGTGAGTTTAAACCTTGCAGTACATTCCTTCACTGATTAAAAAAGCGTAAACTTGCGAATCGCAAAACTTCTCTCACTACAATCAAAGTTCTCTTAGTACATACTTGTGCTGTCCCGGAGCCTCATCAGGACCTAAATTTGTTTAAAACAGAGAAGCTCCAAAAGTTTACAAAAGTCCAAATACTCCAAAAAACGAGCCAAAAATTTTGAAAAGAATTCCTTTGGAAACTTCCGCGATATTTCGGTGTATAACACCTTCTTCAGGCCTGAAATACATTGATTATAACTTGTATAATTATTTTTAGTGGTTTCCCTAATCCCCGTAGGTACTTACATGGAGTTGCCTCTGCCAAGGATGAAGCTACCCTTCTCCAGGCCTGAAATACATTGAAATATTTTACAAGTTATAATCAATGTATTTCAGGCCTGAAGAAGGTGTTATACACCGAAATATCGCGGAAGTTTCCAAAGGAATTCTTTTCAAATTTTTGGCTCGTTTTTTGGAGTATTTGGACTTTTGTGAACTTTTGGAATTCTTTTGGAATAAAACTTTTGGAGCTTCTCTGTTTTAAACAAATTAACAATCAAAGTGTCCATGAAGAAGCTTCGATCGCTAAAGGAGTAACAGCGCAACAAAGGCAAATCTCTCTGCAGTACTCGGACAAATCTTTAATGGGCTATTCCGGCATACTGAACGAACCAGCTATTTCAGCCGCCGTCGAGTGAAAATCTGCTAGTCTGTGATTCTGCATAAAAATTTCTCAATTATTGCATTTTGGGAAGTTATGGTTTTCCAAATTGTGAAAAGTCGCGCTTCTCAAGGTTTTTCATCGTTAATCACTCGATTATATATTTATCCGGCTTCTTAGTGTAAATGTGGTCCCAAGTGTAGCTGATTAAACTTCACTGCCTTTCATACGTGTTCCGTGTTTTTATTGTGCGCACCTTTGAGTGTAGTTCAAATAAATAAATAAATAAATAACGGCGGCAGAGGAATTGCCTAGACATTCTCATGAGTTCTGCACTTTCCAGAAAGTACTCGTTGAGAAACTTCCGTATCTTCTACCAGACTGAAAATTCGTCCACATTAGAAAAGTTACAGTCATTTGGATACGTGCTCAATTTTCAAAGTGTTTCTCTAGCAGATAAGCTGCTAGAAGGTCCAAGCATTCGCATACAAGACAATAATATCTCTCACAGCTGTCCTATTCCAGAGTTTTGCGAGAGAGGACGAGATAGGGTCTATCTAAGAAATACTTCCTTCGCGGCCTCACGCGCCTTGCTTCGAACTTACGAAGAGGTCAAAGCCAGCTTTCCGAATGCTTCGTTAGGTTATATTTTTTAAGTTGAATAGACTCTAAGCAGCTGTTCTGGACTGTGGCCAATGCGAAAATGTTGCGTTTAAGTGCGTCTTAAGGACACCCAGTGCCCTGACTATGAATATGATGCTGATTGTTCTCAAGAAACGCCAGAATCTAATCCCTTCCATTTTACGTCCCATTCTTAAAATTTTCGCTCAAATTATGGAATTAGTTACAACCCCATCAAAACGACTCTCTCCTAAGCAATCGTGACCCCTTCAAATTTCACTAACACCACCCCCCTTTTCAATCTTTTGACCTTCGACAGTCCAAGATGGCGGCCGTCTCCATCCCCCATCCAGCACCGTAGTCGCCGTGAGCCAATGATCTAATCACGGAGTGTGCCTTCACATTCAAGCATACACCTCAGCTAGACACTGGCTACGGCTATTCTGGTTAGCTAGCCAAGGAAATTTTTAAGCGCCTCCTTGTGATAAGCATCTATCAGTGAAACATGGCGACACTTCCTTATCCTGTATACCACCACCTCATTAGTCGACGTCAACAGCGTAGAAATAAATGAGCTAGCGTCTTGAAAACAATTTCATGGCTGAACTGAACAAACATAGAGTTTTTCGTATTCTACGCATACCCATTAGCTTATTTATTTACTACGCGTCTGCTCATAATTCCTACTCATGCGCAAATTGGGGGTTTGATCTTCCTGCAGGTGTTTCAAAGGCACCGTGATGTCTAGCAGGGTTTCTTCGCTAACTTTGGCAATAGTCAAGTTGACCTGGTTTTTCTCTGCGGTGATTACCGGCGGCAGGGTCGGTCCTATCGTTGCTACTTTTCAAAAAGTTTTTACGACCCCCCCCTCATGAAATGTTTCATACGACCCCCTCTTTCAAAACAATTTTTACCCCAAAAAATTACCGTCGAGCGGGGGTATACGCGCGCTGAAACGGGCAAATTTTCTCCCGCGCCGCTCCCCACTCATCACATGCAACTTCTTACAACCGAAGCAAGTACGACCCCCCCCTCTACAAACTCATCAAAATACGACCCCCCGTTGCTACTTGTAGCAACATAGGGTTGACCCTGCCTGGGGGATAGATGGAGTGTTCAATGGAATAGTTTGCCGCCTATTGCAGTATTAATTTTTGCAGGGTGAGAAGCTCCGTCAATTTCACCTTCGCTCCCACACCCACCTTTGTTCCCCTGCCAAAATTGGAATTACTGTAAGCGGAATGAAGTATTCCGAAAATTTCTCCTTATGTCATATACCATTTGACCAGTAACTGTCCACTAATTGTGGCAGCTGAATGAGCTGCAGCTGCGACGAGAAATTCCGATTTTACTGCCAACCACACGGCGCGTAGCATCCGCTTTAAAGCAACAATCCAGGAACGAATTCGCGGGTAAGGACCACCTATAATGACGTTGCAGGTGAGAAGTTGGTCAATGGAGAAAGAAAAAGTAGAAAAAAACGTCGGGCAGGGGCTTAGACAGGGACTCCCCCTGCCGTTTAGGGAGATGTGTGTTGGACGAGTTGTCCGAACCTGCCCGTAGTACATGCGCTCCAGTTGACTGCTGGCAAATAGCCATGCATGCTTGCAAATACATAACTATTTGCCAGCAATCGAAATTGAAGCGCTTCAATTGGGTTCTTATGGAATCGACCTCATACAGCGCGGCGGTCCCGCAACGACCGCTAGTCGAGCAAGCGCTCTGCACAGCGTATGTTGGGCGATCCGCCTCTTTATGGGTGATCCGCCCCCTCCAAGAGGACTTCGACCCCTTCCAGCGCATTTTAGAGGTAGGTTTTGAACTTAAAGACATTTCCTATAAACTTTAGTTGGGCTGGGGCATGTTTTGACCGCCTAATGACCAAGTAGTTGAAACCCTGCCTGGACTGTTGCTTTAAGGATGTTCCGCTTTCCAGCAACGGCTGATGGCAGTTGACGCTGCTCGTTTTTACTTCCTGTTAGTACTATGTCATTAATTTTTGCGTTTTTTATTTGCTACTTTTTCCGTCAGTATTCCAGTATTTCTTAGATTTTTCGCGTTCCATTTAGACGATATCCCCTACTTTTCGCATGCTTCCGCGTCACTAACTGTCACCGCACCGCAGCTTATTACTCGTTCGTGAGGTCGCTTTCTACTACCTACAGCAACCGTCCGAGTCCGCATTTTCTGGCATCGACGCGTCGAGTCCGCACATTTCCAAAGTTTCGGACTCCTTGGGAGGATTCCATACACTCCACGAAGCAAGAAGGCTCCCGCTGGTACGACCCCTCCCTCCCTACCCCAATCACCATTCTCTAGCCCATCATGGCTTTTTCTTTAGTATTTCTGAAATCGGTCGACGCGCCAACACCTCACTTTTCTATTCCCAATGCCTGCGACGGAAGGGATGAGGGGTGAGATTGAGGGGTGAGATGCACAGGAGAGGGTAGTGGGATATTTCGATAGATGACGCATATCCTCTTAGTTTTTCTATTTTTGCGCCTTTTTCATCGAGGGTCAGCAAAAGCATCGACCTTTTATTCGATTCAACAACCCCGACTCCCTCAACTTCTTCAAATGAGATCACCTCGTTCGAACAGTACGAACACATGGTTGGCCGCGCCCTGGGCTGTTTTTTCACCCCCTCTTCGCCGTAGATGAAGGACGCGTTTGAATTATATTGCCGTGACGTACACTACAGATTACGTCTTGATCATACATTTCTCTTACGAAATTAAATTTTGCAACAAATCCTAATGTGTTAATTCCAAAAATGGGAGTAATTGTGGTGATCATTACATAAAAAATCTGCTGAAGTAAGCATTCGGCTCATTGGTGAGGGGGTGGACGAGTTGCCTGGAGAAAAACGGACTACAAATATACACAAGAAAACTGTGACTTTCAAGACATGCAACGTTGCTGGAGTGTAGCGAGATGCAAGCATTAAAAATTGCCAATTGCGTTGAGCAGCTCGCCCACAATCGGCCAACTGCAGCGCCTTAGTAACTTTTATTGAAAGCGCTGTTATTATCCATAAATCAGAGAAGTGCCATTCATTTCAAAGACGAAGCTGCCTCTCTTTTCTTCTTTCATAAATTTCAAACACCTTACGCTCTTTTACTTTACCCTTTCCTTTCAGGACCCTCTCGCTGGTTGGAGACAAACTCTGTGTTCCGCGGAATTCTGTTTGCGGTTTTGGTACAATCAACAGCTTATCGTCAATGCGATCCGGTGAAGCATCCAGGAAAAACACATCTCGCTTATTTGAGAACCCGAATCTCTTCGCCAGAGCTTTGGTAGGTTGTTCACTTTACGAAAGGTGCCACATTTCCCACTGATGCTTACGTGTATGGCCATGGACACTTATTTGGCCAAACTGTACCGGAACTTGCAGCATTACTGAGACGAAACCTTTGCTCTCTTGCACTTGTTTTTCATTTTGTTTTATTTTTGTTGTTGTAAAGCAAAGCCATCTGTTCGCTGAGTTCTCAACGAGAAGGGTCATATTTGTGAGTCGGTATTGCAATTCGTATTTGCTGCTCTTAAACGAGGAATTCGCGAAAGTCATAGAAGGGAAAATTTGCAGGCAAAGTTGGGAGACAGGCGGACCTCCTGGAGGGTGCTGACCGACGCGCAATTGGCAGCGAAAGATTTGACCTCGGCGATCTAGCATGGCTCACTCTTAGCGCGGTTGGCGGGGCACGCCCACCGACTATCTAATCACTCCTACGTGGCGAGTGATTAGATAGCAGAGAGAGCGTAGTGTTGAAGAGGGCAGCGATGAGAGTCGCATCAATGCGCAAATCAACGGGCAAGGAAAGGGGTCCCATTTCTCGGGTTTCGGGCCGTTTCAATGGTTTCTTCTCTCCTGCTCCACTGACCACCTCTACCCTTATTTCCAATGAGCTAACTTTTCATCGTCAATTCTGCCTTTGAAGGAGGTCATGGTCGTGGAAGGTGAAGGGCGGAAGTGATGTAGTGGCAAGTGGCACGCCTACCACGCGCGCGGTCCGGGGATCAAATCAACCAAGCCGTCCATTCCTCCGGCGTCGGCTAATTGGTACTAGAACGCTGGAAGGAAAAACAGGCACTAGTTAATCGCGCTGGCCCCGCAAGCTCCATTCAGAAGCAGAATGTCATTTTGAATACGACTTCGCCTACGCAATGAATTGCGGGGCTAGACGATGTGCATGAGTGTGGCAACTCATGCGGGGGGGGGGTCGTGAGGGGAGATGGGGGCAGGTCTGTGTGAGTGAGCCACTTATAAGTTTAAGACAAAACTTAGGTAGGTTCGGGGTAGGAGGTATGCAATTTTTCGCCTAGTCCCCTCACCTGGGCCGAGTCCTAGTGTCACCCACTGGCGTTGTTGTACCAATTAAACGAATCCATAGAGATAGGAGGCATGGTCAGCTAGGACGACATGAGATCCAGTAGTTGATCCCCAGACCACGCGCTTGGTAATAGCGCCACTTGCTATTACGCTACTTCCTTCTGTCATAAAGCGAGCTCTCATGAATTGGTGAGATTGGCCAACGGCTCTGTCACTTGTAGTAGGGGCTATAACCAAATCATAGAAGGTCCTATTAACGGAAGTGATCACCATTGTAGTATTCGCCTATGAATTCTAGCCTACAGATGGTCATAGTCAGGAGGAAGTTATCTGACAAAACCGCTTTTACGACAGGACCTTCGAAGGTTCCATGGCCCCTGTCTCTCACTCTTAGAAGCATTGGTGGCCAGTAACGTCACGATATGGTCTTGAATTTTTTGGGGCAACCCCAGCCTGGCCGCGGCTCATTCAATCGAATCGAATGCCAAAAAGTTCTTGTTCCAGTCCGAGAAACTCACTGGTCCATGGATTGAACATGCGTTCGAAAAGCGAGAATGCATCAAGTTTGTTGGTCAGCCAGGCAGCCCCGAAAGGTACGTCATCTCGTTAGGAGTTCTAAAATCAACTCGGACAATCACATCAGTAGATCGATGCAAGCTGCTTGAAGAGGTGTTGGGTTACGCGTGCTTTAGTTAAAACGTTTCTCGGTTCACTTTCAACGCGATGTGCTTATCTAATAGGTACAGTTCTTAGCAATCTGGAATGAATCCTTTCAGTTGCACCAATGCTTAAAGGTGTGGTTAAAGACACTTTCTACGCTGAACGTATGGGCGGAGTCAGTTGGGCTCTTCTCGTTGATGGGTTCTTCCTTGTCAGATAGCAACGGAGTGGGGTGCACAATTGGGAAGGGTGCGGTAGTCAAAATTACTTCGCCCATACATTTTAGCGTGGATTGTGCTCTCAAGGGAGGTGGGCGACACATTAGATTTTCAACGAAGGGAAATATGCCTATCAGAAAAGGAAGCCAAGCTTCTGAAGAACGAGAAATGATGTGGTTCGTGTCCAGCTCCGACCACTAGTTCCTGTTCGTCGGCACTAGGGCTCTGGCTCTCAAAGCTGAGTCTCTTGAGGTCAACCGACGAATTGCCGTCGACTATCATCCGACGTGGAATCAAAGCAGAAAGGACAATTCGCGGGTTCATGCGTCGTTCTTCTCTGTCCCAGTTACATCACTTTCTTCGTTTCTAACCCCCGCAAATTTATGTATCCGCCCCCTTTTGGGCGAGAATTTATGGTAACTCTACTTGCGCTAGCGAACAGTGGCTTGAGTCAATACATAGGATTTTATTATTACAGGGTTTCCCACCCCAATTCGTAAACGTTGCAGCCAATTTAGTGAACGGCTTGCTACTTTCGTAAACTTTTCGGCTCATTTCGTAACGTTGCATCCAATTTCCTCATTCTAAACCCCAGTTCGTCACTCGTTGCAAGCAATTTGTCAACCTTGACTCAACATCCGGCAAAAGGAATTCGCTGAAACTTATCCTACAGGGGTCACTGAGTTCCTGATTACGAACATGATATTCATTCTTGGCGCTGGCATCATTTGTCGTCTTTTTCCCATTTGCGGCCTCTCACCGGCTAGATCGAGAAATATGCGTTGAGCAACGCTCTCAACAAAAACGAATGCCGTAATTCGTATCCGGGCTCGAAATAACCCCGCATAACTAAGTCTACAGCGAATTTGCTGGGAATGAGTCGTGGCAAAACCTGGCGCCAGCGCCAAGAATGGATGTCACATCGTGATCAGAACCTTCAATGAACTCCTGTAGGATAACTTTCAGCGAACTTTCTTTCGCCGAAATTTACTGGAAGAGTGACGAATTGGGGTTTAGAATGACGAAATCAGTTGCAGCGTTTCAGAAATGGAAAAGGTTCACGAATTGGGGTGGAAAACCCTGCATACTTCACGAACTGGCTATGCATGTTCGACCAATCCTAGTATGAGATCGGATGGAAATCTCCTAAAGCTCCTTAATCTTAATCTATGCTGTCATGTTTCAGATGTGGTTGTGGTCGATTGATGGCCGCCCATTCGCAGTTGGCTCTGTCACGTTTTTCGGTGTTTTCACAGGGTGCACAAGTTGAAGAAGGCCAACCGTGGTCAATCGCCACCCATACACAAACCTCACCCACGGATGCCTTCGGCACCATTGTGTTCCAGGTTTGTCGCCCAGCGTCGCGTGTTATGGCGAACCTTTTCTTGGGCCCAGTGATGGGCTCGTATGTCATGTCGGTCACGAGCTGGATGGGTAGCCCAAACCCTGCATCCCTGGACGAATCCCCCGAATATTCTTGACTATGGGGGCTGCAAGATTCACCGGAGTAGAAACACAGTCGGGGACCCATTCCAGGCCAGTGTACTTGTTGCAACACGGGCCCTAGTAGTAGTGTACTCTTCAGCAGCTTCCTGAACAAGGTCATTTGTACCAAGATCTGTGATCGCATTGGAATTTTCAGTGAAGGTGTCATCGCCTGCGCATCGCTGGCGAAGACTCCTTCACGACCTCACTCCTGGCGGGGCGTGCCCATACTGTATAAGCCTTGAACAGATACCACAACCACATAACTCCTCTTGCAGCTATACAATAAAGGCGATACCACCGCGAGGTGATAATAAAAGGGTCCACCATAACCCTAAGTCTCTAGTCACCCGCAACAGAGGCGGAGGGTTTTCGCGTGTTTGGCGTTTGCAGGCAGAGAACAATAGGGTCGTAATTTCTAAGTTGGCAGAGGGAGCCGTGTGTGGCTGAAATTGGGCGTGGGGTCTGAACAGATACCACAGTAGAGTCGTTTCGACGAGTTGTGAGAATTTTGACAAAATTTCTCGAAAACACGTATGAAGTGGGCGAAAATAGTGGATTTGCCATACTTACTCCCCATTCGGCTCTACCGCTGGGTCGGAGGGAAAGTGGGCAAAGTTATAGCGGGTCGACTAGCCTCAGAATCAAGTACTACAGAAACAGCCCATGAGGGTGATGGTTGGAGGAGGTGAGGGAGTTCGCGAGAATTCTTCAACTCTGAACAACTTTATGCTGCTTTTGATCACCAATCTGCAAAGCCCGGGAGTTCATCAGTAGGTTTCGGCCCCTCCTCACAAACCCTCCACTACTCCCAACTCTGTATTCTCCTGTGGAATTCTGATTTTTCTACCTTGGGGCGATCCCACAAAGCGATACTTGTTTTTTAGGGTGGCGCACATGCACACAAGGCCCAATTCATCCGCCTTGGCTACGATTCCGAACCAGAAGATGTGATGTACCTCATGGAGAAGGCAAGTGACCTTCCTTCTTGAACGCTAACATTCTTCCGACGTAGAGATGATGAGTTCTCGTGAAATCGCGAACACATTTCAGGTTTGGGGTCTACGGCCCCCACGGCTCGTCATCACAGTGCATGGAGGCATGACCAATTTCGAGTAAGTTCAAAAAAATCACTGTTAATCAATATGTGTGAAGGACATACATTGCAAAGAGGTCAGACTTAGTTGACAATAGCACAGTGTATGTCATGGCGATGTATTTGGCATGACTGGTCGTCTGAAATAGCAAAAATTCAGTACACTGACGCAGGAGCCTTCATTAATACTGAACTCTAAACCATGTGGCAAAATGCACAAAACTTTCGCAACTAAGCTCTAAGAAGGGCGTGTGGCAGAGCTTTCGAAGAACTTTGTAGAGATCTGACTACTAGCAAATCGCTTTCAGCTGCCTCGAAAGCGAAATGAAAGCATGGCCTTATTTGCGGCACGCAAAAAACAAAAACATATAGACAAAAAACATCGAAATCCTCATTATTTTCTGCAATTTTTCGTCCATACGTTTTTTACCAAGTAATTTCAGAGTGCAGGAGAAATTGGGCGGCATGTTTCGAGACGGACTGCTGAAGGCGGCACAGACCACAGGAGCGTGGATAATCACGGGAGGTCTGGATTGCGGCGTCGTGAAACACGTGGCTCGAGCGCTCGACGATGCT